GAGAGAGAGAGAGAGAGAGAGAGAGAGAGAAAGGAGAGAGAGAGAGAAAGAGGGAGAGAGAAAGGAGAGAGAGAGAGAGAGAAAGAGGGAGAGAGAAAGGAGAGAGGGGGGGGAGAGAGAGAGAGAGAGAGAGAGAGAGCGCACTCCTCCTGTGCTCTCTTTTTAAAGCTCTGGGAACCACGCGCATGACCACCATTAAACTATCAACTTAATCACCTCTACAAGGCCCCACCTCTCAATTACCATAATAGAACTTCCCACCCTCGACAGTTACAGTGGGACTTAAGCTTCTAATATACAGACTTTGGGGGACACAATTCAATCAATTCACAGTATTCCACCTCTGGCCCCCAAAGTTCATGTCCTAAATATATCCACATCATCCCCCAAATCTTAACTTATTTCAACTAAAAAGGTCCAAAGTCCTAGCCGTGAAATCAGAACAAGTTATCTACTTCCAAGGTACAATGTGAGACAAGCATAGGGCACATATTTTCATTCAAAAAGGGAGAAATAGGCCAAAAGAAAGTGGTAACAAGTCCGGCAGACAAGTCTGAAATCTTCAGGGAAGGCATTAAATCTTAAAGCTGGTGAATCATGTACCTTGAATCCGTGTTCTATGTCCTCTGCATGCTGGTGTGCAGGTTGGGTCCCCAGGACTTGGGCAGCTCTGCTTCTATGGCTTTCCTGGTCTCAGGTGATGCTTTAGCTCTCCCAGGCTGGCATTGTGCTCTGGTAGCTCCACACATCCGGGGTCTCCATGGTGGTTCTTCTCTCACAGCTCCAGTAGGCATGGTGCTGTTGGGGTTTTTCTGCTGAAACTCTGACCCCACATTTCCACTCAGCATTGCTCTAGTGAAGGATCTATGCAGTGAATTCGCCACTGCAAGAGATTATTTCCTGGGCCCCTAGGCTTTTCCACACATCCTTTGAAATCAGGGTGAAGGCTCTCAAGCATCCACAGCTCTGTCATTCTGTGAGCCTGCAGACCTAACACCATGTAGATGATGCCACAGCTTCAGGCTTCTATTTCCCAAATCTGCAGGTCCAACCACACCTGAAGCCAATTTAGCCACAACTGGAGCAGCCAGAGCAGCCAAGGTGTTGGTGAGGATACCAACTTTCCAAGGTAGCCTTTGGCAGCGAGCCCATAGAGGACACCTTAGACCTATTCCCCGAGACCATTCTGTCTCCCCAGGCCTCTTGTTCTATAATAGAAAGGTTGGCCCCATAGGCTTCTGCAATGCCTTTGGGGCCATTCCCTTCTTTTCTTGATAATTCCTTTCTTTTATACTAATCTTCTTAGTGCCATTGCATTTTTCTCCTTTAAATCCTCTCTGCTTCTCAACCATATGGCCAGGCTGCAAATTTTCCAAATCTTTATGCTTTGCATCTTTTTAAATTATACATTCTGTCTTTATGTCATGTTTTTTCTGCCATAACTTAGCACAGGTTGTTGGAAGTAGCCATGCAGCTTCTTGAATGTTTTACTGCTTAGAAAGTTTTTCTATCAGCACCTTTAAGTTCCACATCCCATAATACTTTTGGGCACCCCACTTCTCTGGTACCAATTTGCTGAATTAGTCCATTTCTGTTGTTTATAACAAAATGCACAGAACTGGGTAATTTGTAAGAAACAAAATTTATTGCTTACAGTTTCAAAGGCTGTGAAGTACAAAGTTCAGGGAATACAACTTCACACAGTTACAGAATGCAATGCTACCTTTATTTATATATTTAAAATTTTAAAACTAACGTATCCTATTTAAGAATAATTATAATAATTTTCCAATTCATTGTGGAGGGACAGTAAACATTTATGCTTTTTTAAAGCCATTCTTTACTTATTGGATAACTGTACATTCAAAACCACTGCAATTCGTTAGGTAATTAAGCATTTTTTACATTTTTACAAAAGTATTTTACAGCCATTCTAATCTTTTTGCAGAAAACTCCTTTATATTCTGTGTACACATTTTCACAACATTTATTATATGCTCAATAGACTGTTTTAGTTCCGCAAAAAACATTATGGTTGACTACAGAAATTCAAATTTAGCTCCTCTCTAAAAAGCAGATTTTTTGCAATAATACAATGGGCTTTTAAATTTTACATTATAAAAGGTTTATAAAGTGATTAATAAATCATTAGCCCAATATGGTGTTAAGTGTGATAACTTTCAAAATAACTACCGTCTATTTTCTATTCTTTAATTGTATTTTCAGAATTACATGTTTTTTTACTCTTTAGCAAGGTAATTAAATTCAAAATGAAGAGAGGGAAGAAGAAACTCTATTTATCGGTGAAAGGGGAGGGGCGCAGAGAGCCAGGAGAAATCGCTTGGCTTGAGTTGGCTGGATCTTGGCCTTGCTTTTGATTTTCAGGATGTACAGGTTTTTTGTTTTGTTTTGGTTTGGTTTTTTAATATGGATTTCTCTAGGAGTGCTAAAATGTACTAAGTTGTCTCATGCAATGTATTTTTCTGACAATTTTTATTGATATAGCAAATGCGATAAAGAAGCCAACTTTCTAAAATATACACAATATATAGTTTTTTTTTTCCTTTTTTTGTCCTTTTTTTTTTTTCGTGTCCGGCAATGGATCGCAACCCTTGGCGCTGCACCCGCACCTCGCTCAGCCAGTGAGCGGGAACCGGTCTGTATGTGGGATCCGAACCCTCGGCGGGAGGGCCACCGCGCTCCCAAGCGGTGCACTGTAGCAGTGCGCCACTGGGCCAGCCACAATATATAGTTTTGAAAGTGAAAAAATTATATAACATGACTGCAGTGTTTAAATAATATATATCATCAATAAATCTTTATTGACTGATTAACCAATAACTTTAAATTATGTGTTTTGTATGTAATATGAGTTCTTCTAGGTGCCTAGCCTTAACAGGGTGGCAGAAATATTATACAAAATATAAACACTAAAATTACATTTTATGAGACATGTGGGGTGAATACAAAGGTAAAAACAAGTTAGCTTAAAGGACTTTCTGTAAACTATAAAACACAGTGACATAATACTATATAGACTAATTGTTTTAAACATGCTGTTACTCTAATAATGAAAGAAATGCATTTTTCCTAAGAAATTATATCTGGCAGCTTATGTTGCTTGTTAAACTCCTCATATTTTCTCATAATTATCTAGCCAAAATTCATACCTCTTTGGAATCCTTATTTTTACCTGCCTGTTCCCTGAATGTGCCTTGTAATCTGGAAATCTTGATTATTGAACAATAAGTTACCAGAATGTGTGAAATGCATGCAGAGTAGGCTAATTACATCAACACATATATATTAATTGTGGATGAGCATAATATATATTTTTCTTATGTTGCTCAGGAATAATTTTCTCCGCTTCTGGATTTCCGTGACATTCTTTGTTTTGTAATATGCTTAAGTGATGTTATAGGGTTTGATTTAGTATATATTTTCTTCATTAGTATGTGGTAAGCATATATTTTTCAAAATTATCTCAATATTTCAATTAAGTGTTTTTTGTAGTAAAACCAAATTCATACATACAAAATTTCAGTGTAAAACATAATTTATGCATGCAGTAGACCCTTAAGTTTTGCTAAATGAATGAACCAACTTTAAAAAAATAAAAATGAAAAACAAAAAAAAATCCTCATGTGGATAATGTTCCTCATAATTCATGCCATTCTTATATGCTGATTCTCTTTAGAGGAATTCTAGCTCTGTTAGTAGCATAAGAAATAATTACCACTGCATCAATGATGGTAATGATTCCTGGGAATCGCATGACAGATCATTTATCTCAATTCGATGGCAAATTATTATTCTAATCTTCTCTTTGTTTTTAGATTTGTAGTATGAGCTATTTACTATTGAGCATCCATTATAACATTGTTTGTCTTGTTCTTGTTTGTAGCTCCTTGTGAAGGCAATACTTTCTTCTGCCATAGTAACATGTGTATTAACAATACGTTGGTCTGCAATGGACTCCAGAACTGTGTGTATCCTTGGGATGAAAATCATTGTAAAGGTAATAATTAGTCCTTGAAATTTGCAAAATCTCCTGCCTGTGGAAAGGGAGTAAAGTTTATTTGCATCAGAAAATCTTAAAAATAGAGTATAGAGTGGCTTTTATGAACTCTGTTATGTCATAAAATAGATTTGTAGGCATTTTTCTTTGCTGTGTCCAGAGGTTTCCTCATTCATTATTGCACAGTGGAATAACCTTAACACTTGAATACTCACTAAAGACATCTCCTTATTAGAGGTTGCAGAGCCATGGAAAGTAAATTGGAGCTTTTAGTGGAGTGCATTACTTTCCTGTTATAGCTGATACCCCTTAATCTGTGGCCATACCTCTCATTTATTCCAATTTGTCTTCATTGGACTTTGGGCACATAGAGATGCAATATATTGAAGGAGCATGTGTGCTTCTAGTATTTCCAGGTGCTTAACTCCACTTCAATTTGACTACCAAAATGCTTTTCCTCCTTTCCAATAAAGATAGTTCCCAATGTCNCATTCATTATTGCACAGTGGAATAACCTTAACACTTGAATACTCACTAAAGACATCTCCTTATTAGAGGTTGCAGAGCCATGGAAAGTAAATTGGAGCTTTTAGTGGAGTGCATTACTTTCCTGTTATAGCTGATACCCCTTAATCTGTGGCCATACCTCTCATTTATTCCAATTTGTCTTCATTGGACTTTGGGCACATAGAGATGCAATATATTGAAGGAGCATGTGTGCTTCTAGTATTTCCAGGTGCTTAACTCCACTTCAATTTGACTACCAAAATGCTTTTCCTCCTTTCCAATAAAGATAGTTCCCAATGTCACTACCCTCTTCTGTAGTCTATACACAAAAATCTGTTTATGTAATAGAGATCCTTGGCTGGGTTATGAATGTTGCGTGTGTTAGTGTAGTTGAAAATGCCACATAAACCCTTTCATTCAGATTCAATATTACAGAATTTGGAAAAGAAGTTAAATAGGAAAATAATTCTTTCATGCTTACAGTCCAATATTTATTATCTATTTAAATGCCAACCAAGGATAAAAGCAAAGAAGCAGTGCTACAGTCGCCACTGTTTTGTATAGTCAGTATTAAAGTCAGTTTCAGTATTAACTGTTATGATAGTGGGGTGGTCGTGGTGATCACTTTTATGTCCAAGGAACCACTTCTGAATAGATAGAAAATTAAGTACTTTCTGAACCATCTTAATCGAGCACTGTTAGTGATTAGTAGTCACTAGCATCTTTGTCCAGAGTGGATTTTTTCCTTGTGTGTAAGAAATATTTGACATGTGCAGGCAATCAAGAAAATGTTACTGGATGTGCATTATAAAAGCCCATGTTTATTTTCTTCAGAAAGCAAAACAATTCTTTTGATTTTTAATTCAGCCTCCTGTGATAGGAGAAGATACTTTTTATAATTTCAGTCATTTCTAATGTATTGGGGTTAGTTTATGGCAAAGCATGGCTGTAGCCTAAAAACAGTGTTATGTGCCCTTGAAAAAATGTTTTTGCTTCATTGGGTGGATTGTTCTCTAGATGTTTCTTATGTCTAGTAGGTTTATAGCATTGTTCAAGTCTTCTATTTTCCTTTCCATTTTCTGTCATGTTTCATCTATTATTGAAAGCAGATATTTAATTGCTTCTATCTTCAATTCTGTCTTTTGTTTTATGTATTTTTGAGCTTGGTTGTTAGGCCGATTTATGTTTATAATCATTATATCTTCCTTATTAATTGATTTTTATATCACTATAAAATTATCATCTAATATTTAGTACCATATTTGTCTTATATTTTTCTGATATTAGTATGGCCTCTCTAGCTTTTTAATGCTTGTGTTTTTTATGATTTTTTCCCCATCCTTTTACTTTCAGTCTATCAGTATCTGAATATGAAGTGTTTCTTCTGCAGGCAGTGTACAGTTTGATTCTTTTCCTCCAGTGTGACAATTTCTGCCTTTTTAATGCTTGTGTTTTTTATGATTTTTTCCCCATCCTTTTACTTTCAGTCTATCAGTATCTGAATATAAAGTGTTTCTTCTGCAGGCAGTGTACAGTTTGATTCTTTTCCTCCAGTGTGACAATTTCTGCATTTTCATCGGGTTGTTTCATCTACTCACACTTAATAGTGTTATTTGATATAGTTGGATAACATCTATCATTACACTTTTTATTTTCTATGTCTCATGTATTTTTTTCCTTTTCTGCCTTTATTGATCTCTTCATTAAGTGAATATATTACAGTGTAACATTTTAATTCTTTTAGTGGTTTCACATTGTATTTTTAAATTACTTTCTTAGTGGTTGCTTTAGGGCTTTCAATATACAGCTTAACTTCTCAGAATATATTTCTGATTTGTACTAACTTAATTCTAGCAAGACATAAAAATAGTATTCCTATATAGCTCTATTCCCTCTTCCTCTTTCTATTATTTTTGTACATATTACACCTATATGTGATATAAACCCCACAATACATTGCAATGATTATTACTTTATATAAATTTATGTCTTTTAAAGAAATTTAGAGACAACAGGACAGCAAGCATATATTAGTCTAGTTTGTTACACAACCCTTCTCATCTACCATTTTTGGTTTTCTTCATTGGTTTTTGTAGATTTGCATTACCCTCTCATGTCATTTACTCAATGCAATAACAGTTTTGCTCATACCCATCTTGTTTGTACTGTTGTCCCCAGATATATTACATTTCTATAAGTCATAGGCCCATCAATACATTTATACACATATAATGTTTTTTTAAAGTGAAAAATGCAGAAGAAATATGCAAGTATCTTGTCCATCATTATTTACACAATTGCCTTTATTGACTATATTTGTTTCCCTGTTTAAATTATTGTCTATTTAATATTTTCATGTGGATTTGTGTTACTGGTTACTGTCTGGTAATTTGTTTTCAAGTCAAAGATCTCCCTTTGAGAAATATATTTATCATTATTATTATTATATTATTATTAATAATAATAATATATGCATTTTTTAAGGAAGCTCTTTAAGCATTGAAATTGCTTCACTTTTATTTATCTGGCAATGTCTTCATTTTATTTGTAAATGTCATTTTGCTGGATATCATGTTTTTGGTTGCTAGCGTTTTTTGTTATTGCTTTCTGTTTTATTCTGTTGATGCCTTCTACCCTCCGTTGATGATAAATCATGTGATAATCTGTTTGATGCTCCTTTCTATGTGATGTGTTGTTTTCTTCAATGCTGTTTTCAAGATTTTCTCTCGGCCCATCTTTGATTTTTTAACATTTTTAACATTTGTGAAGCTCTTTGCATTTATTCTACTTGGAGTTTGTTGAACTTATATGCGAGTTTCTCATCAAGTTTGGGAAGTTTTTAGTCTCTATCTTATTGAATATTTTTCCTGTCATTTTCTCCCTCTCCCTTCCTTTTTCGACTCCTATACATTCTGTTGATGTTCTTTATGGCTTGTCACATTTTTCTGAGGTTATGTTTATTTTCTGCTTTCTTTTTTCTCACTCTTCTTTAGAAAGCATAATTTTCATTCCTCTATCTTCAGGTTTGCTAATACTTCCTTCTTCCAGCTGAAATGTACTGTAGAGTCACTCTAAGAAAATTTTTTTTCAGTGGTTGCACTATTGAACTCTAGGCTTTTCATTTCTCTCTTTTTTATAATTTCTATTTCTTTATTGATATTCTCTATTTGATGAGACATTGTCCTCATTTTCTTTAACTTCTTTGAGCACAGTTTGCTTTAGTTCCTTAAACATATTGATTATAGCTGCTTTAAAAATCTTTGCCTGGTATGTCTGATATCTGAGCCTCTCATAGGTCTTTCCTTTGCCTGCATATTTTTCTATGTATAAATTGCACTGTCCTGATTCATAATACATGCCTCATAATATGTTGTTGAAAACCGGATATGTTAGATAATATATTATGGCTACTCTGGATCTTCTCCCCAGAGCTTCTTGTAGTTTTCCTGTTTGTTTATAAATGCAGACCTGGCTGGACTATTTCCGTGAAGTCTCTGGTGAGGCACCATGGACCACACCCTTGAGCATGTTCACATCACCCTTGGATGGCCAAGGTTTTAGCAGGGCTCTCATTGAGTGTCACTTTCCCCGTTCTCTACGTTTAACTGTCTACCTCTGTCGGTATCACACCTAGTTGTTAGCTTCCACTATTGCCAATTGACTGTTCTACTGTTTTTGAAAATGCCCAGGATCATAAATCATGTCACAATCTGACCTAATTAAATTCAATTAATTTCAGGGGTGGCCATTTATGCCAGGATTTGTGAGTTGTTACAACCCAGGAGGCCCTTGTTAACTGTTGTTTTCCTGGCTTGTTCTGTTAGGCTTCCAGCCGTTCTAAGGTTTCACTTGTTGCTATTAAGGCACCAACAGCCTACTCTCTTGAGAGTAGTGTTTGAAATTATTCTTAGGCTTGAGCTTCTCTTCACTCTGTTCCAAATAAACTAACCTTGTTCTTGTGGCCTGATTTTCTTCTTTGGCAAAACTTCTACACCATTGCTCTGGATGGGAGCAGGAACAGTGCCCCAATTCTTTTGGAGTGATACCAGTGCTTTGTGAACAGGCTACTAGTTGAGGGTCTTCTTAGGTTGCCTCTCCAGACTGTTTTTCTATATCAGCGAGCTGGGTTAAGCATAATTAGGGCCCAGCATTCTTAACCAGGTACACCTGATATTGAGCTTCTGCTCTACAAGTGGGGACTCTGAGGAGGAAGAGAGTCCCAGACATGTCAGCCAATCTGACCTGGAATAGAGCATCTACAATATGGACCAGGGGGAAGGAGGTTTTGAGAAATGCTGGTGGCTTACTTCTTCTGGAAAGACACTGTAGCCCTTGACTGGGAGCTGTAAGGAGGGGAAGCCCTGTGTTCTCATCTGTAACCTCTCTGAGTAGAGCTTCCATCTGAATGAGTTGAGGTTAGAGGAAGCAAGTCATAGCTCAAATGCCATAGACTCTCACTGTTTCTAAAGAAATATAGTAGATTTGTTTAAGCAAATGACTCTCTCTTTTCTGTACACCATTAGGACAATTTCTAGAGTTTTATTAAGCCAGACTTGAAATGGTTGAGTTTTTAAAAATAATTTTTACCAGTTATGGTTATTTCCTTTTGGAAAGAGTCCATGCAGGCCTTCATGCCACCGTTCCAAAAATGCCTGTATTCAAGTTGAACTGAATAAACTTTCAGTATCAGAACATTGTTGTTACTTTGAATTCAGTTTCCTATGTCAAGAATAGAATAGTACCAATATGTTCATGGTCTCAGTGGTGGAGTTTAGAGGTTTTCTTGTAACTATAAGAAAAACAGAATTAATTGTTTATAAAATTACCAGTACATTACTAAATGTCATGCTAAACATATTATACAAATTTTTCAAACATACATGTAAGTGTGTGTATATATATATGCAGATGAATGTGTGTGGGTGTGTGCGTGTGTGTATCAGAAATGCTGGATTGGGCCGGCTGGTGGCGCACTGGAGAAGTGCGCCGCTTGGGAGCGCGGTGGCGCTCCCGCTGAGGGTTCGAATCCCATGTGGAGACCGGTTCCTGCTCACTGGCTGAGTGTGGTGTGGGCGCAACACCGAGGGTTGCGATCCCGTTGCCGGTCCCCGGTAGGGCGCGACACCGAAGGTTGTGATCCCGTTACCGGTCAGTAAAAAAGACAAAAAGGAAAAAAAAAAAATGCTGGATTATTTTTAAGGCTATAATATAAAGCCCTTGTGAGAAATGAGACCCTTTGTTTATTTTAAAATACTTTCTTATGCTTTCATTAGCCTGTATAAATTTTGTGCTCAGCCTATTTTGTTTTAAAGTTCTCAGTATGTGTTTTGATGACAATATTAACATGTCGTGGGTTGTTTCTTGTTGTGTTTGTTTGTTGTTTTTACTCTCTCCAACCTGTAGAAAAGAGGAAAACCAGCCTGCTGGACCAGCTGACCAACACCAGTGGGACTGTCATTGGCGTGACTTCCTGCATTGTGATCATCCTTATTATCATTTCTGTCATTGTACAGATCAAACAGCCTCGTAAAAAATATGTCCAAAGGAAATCAGACTTTGATCAGACAGTGTTCCAGGAGGTGTTCGAACCTCCTCATTACGAGTTATGCACTCTCAGAGGGACAGGAGCTACAGCTGACTTTGCAGATGTGGCAGATGACTTTGAAAATTTCCATAAACTGCGGAGGTCATCTTCCAAATGCATTCACGACCATCACTGTGGATCACAACTGTCCAGCACTAAAGGCAGCCGCAGTAACCTCAGCACAAGAGATGCTTCTATCTTGACGGAAATGCCCGCACCACCCGTCAAACCCCTCATCCCACCCGTGAACAGAAGAAATATCCTTGTCATGAAACACAGCTACTCGCAAGATGCTGCAGATGCCTGTGACATTGATGAAATCGAGGAGGTGCCAACCACAAGTCACAGGCTGTCCAGACACGATAAAGCCGTCCAGCGGTCAGTATCTATAGATTTTTTGATGACAACTATAACCTGAGGACTGAAATTCTTCCAAAGCATTGTGTTCTATTTGGTTTTCATATTTCAATGTCCCTTTATTTAATGATTTAAACCATAGTGTTTCAACTCGTTTTCTCTCCTTTTCCCTTTTCAGTGCTATCCATACACTTCCTAAATCCCATATATGTTCATAATATGTATATGTGTGAACCCACATGCACACACAGACCAAAGATATTTCATTTATTTCTATACATATGCAAATATTTATTTCTATAAAAAATATGACTTTCAATTTATAATAGAGATTTATTTTACTAAATTGCCTCCACATGGTCATGAATGTTTCTCCTATTAATATATATATTTTAAGATATGAGATGATATTTGGAAACAACTGCCTTACCAACATGGCTACCCCATCTCGTTGAATAATTTTAATGCAAAAATAATATATTTTACAATATAATGTATTTATTTTTGGTATGAAAATGAGAATACTTTTCTTCCACATATTACATAATGCTTATATTACAAATTGCATATGATAGCATGGCATGCTAAAATACTAAACATTTATATTTAAATATAGCTAAAATTAGTAGAAACATTTACTTTCTTTTTAATATAAATACATTATTATCTGTGTTGTATTATTAGCCCTAAAATGAGTGAAAGTTTTGAGGAAAGAAAATTTAATTTTAGAAAAATATTTCAAATTTCAAAATTCAGTTTACTTATGCTTTGTTTTGCATGTTTACTAGCACTTAGTTTATTTTATAAATTTACATTCTTTCTTCATTCATCTTATGTTCTCAAACCTAAAATATTTTTAGTTGATTTAATATGGCTTGCATGCTAATAGGAAAAATCTATTTTATGAATTTTAGAAAAATTTTAATTAAACATTTGTGTGCATATATGTATTTTTGTGCAAATATTACTTTATTGAATGAAATAGCCATAACATTCCAGGTTCTGCCTCATTGGGTCTCTAAGCAAACATGAATCTGAATACAACACAACTAGGGTCTAAAAAGAAAATTCAAGGTAAGCAAATGCCCCTAGTTCCTTCTCCCACTTTGTTGTATTTTGTTTTGTTTTGTTTTGTTACAATTGTCTTGTAGCTTTTTTTAAGGGAATGTGTTATTTATTCATTATTTCTTGAGATGTGTTTCATGACATTTCATAATCAGAAATATAATAGATTCAGTGCTAATGGATGGATGATTCTTAGGTTACATATCTTTTTTTTTTTTCCTTTTTGTCTTTTTTTACTGACTGGCAATGGGATCGCAACCCTCGGTGTTGCGCACGCACCACGCTCAGCCAGTGAGCGGGAACCGGTCTCCACATGGGATCCGAACCCTGGGTGGGAGCGCCACCGCACTCCTAAGTGGCGCACTCTCCAGTGCGCCACCGGGCCGGCCCTTAGGTTACATATCTTTAAAATAAACATTAATATTCTTACCATCAAGCCTTGTACTAGAATGTTATTTAAAAATATGTCAAACTAAGAAGCAAGTTTTACATATTTTAAGGTAAAGATCCTTTCAAATAAATATCAGAGGAAATCCATGATTTTTTGAAATTAAAAAAATAGAATATTCAGTCTTAATATAACTGAAGTTAATACGCAAAACTGGTAATTACTCATACTCATTTGGCAACATTCTACTCAAAAAGTATTTGGAAGTACTTGTATAATTTATGCACTCTTATTTTTGCATGAATATGTAGCTTATCTCATCAAATTTAAATGTATCATGTCATATCAAATTTTATGCTATAAAATTTGAAGGCTTGGTAATATAAAAGTTTCCATTAACACCAGCTTTGTATGTGTACATCTATTTTGTCATGAGATATTACAATCGTTTTACTTTTTGTACTTGATAGTCTGTCTATATTAGCCTAATTTGTTTCCAATTAAATTTGCTTGACAGCTAATCTCTTCAAAGTTCTTCAAGCCTATCAATTATTCTTGAATTAGGTGAATGCGTTTTAATGCTCTATAGTACCTTAATAAATTGGTGTATTTGTATGCATTTTTCATTGGGAGAAAATGTTTTACCTGTGTTTTATTTTCAGAGAAGAACTATTTATACAAACATGGGGACTGTGAAAAGAAAATTCTATAGTGAATTGTGAAAAGTGGACATATTTCTAAATTCATTCCACTGCCTTTATCCAAACTTAAGAATTACAGACATTTGTTATTCCTTCGGCAAGACATCCCTGCTGCACAATGATATGTTCATTTCGTAATTTGGTTGCTGGCCACCAAGTGCTCCTTAGTTTTTAAATACATTTTGAGATTTACTGGAAACTTGAAGAAGAAATTAGTTCCTGATTAAGACTATCCTGACTTTATTTTTACTGTCAGTTTCACTTTTGTTTCTATGTTGTTTTATGTCTTTGTTATATAATTGTATACTGTGTGATATGTGAAAAAACACAAATTTGGATGGACCTTGTGTTACATGTACATTGTTTTCATTATATAGACTGCTTGAGAATAGTGCGTTCCTGAGTGATTTTGAACATGCTACACTGAAAAGTGGAAATGTGGATCATGGAAACATCAGCTAGAGGTTTTATGGACTATGAACACCTATTGTTTTATTATGATTAAATGCAGCAAAAAGTAACAAGTAAAATTATCAGATGGCAATAAGAAAAATCTCAGTTTTTGGTCTTTCCTATGTACCCCCAATTTCCTCTTAGTTTTATATCAAAGGAAGATACCCAGTTTCAGAAATAGTTTTTGAAATCAGGTATTTTACTGTTCATACCCTACAATAGAAATGTTTTGATTAAGCACTTAGACATATGACTGAATTGACAGTGTGAGAAAATACCCTGCATGTCAGTACCGGATATTTGAGTTGGGAAAATATCCTTTTTATTAAACACATTGTAAAAAGCATGCATTCTTCAAAACTGCTGTTACTCTTCCATTTCTTTATGTCATATGCTTGCTACTTGTAACTTTTTATATAAAGATATATAAAATGTATAATAATTTCCTAACTTGAGTTAAGAGAAATGTTTTCTTCTTTAGAGTGATAAAAAACTGACCTACAGAAGTACACACTTTATATCAACTCTTTCCACCTTTTAGAGGACAGGATGTTCTTTAGTATTGAGGTTTACTTCCCCAAATATTTACTTTCTAAAATTTTATGGAATATGTTCTCCTTTTAGAATAGGAAAGTCTTTTTAATGCTTTAAAATCACAAGCCGTTTTATGACCTAAATTACACCATTCTGAATTATTCTTATACTCAGGCGCACATGTGACACCAGAAGGCTTAGTGATTATTATGTGTTTCATACAAATAAAGTAAAATCCTATAATATATCTAATTGCTGTTGACTTGCATATACACTATAAAGTTTGATTTAGTGAGTGGGTACTTTTTAGAATATGAATGTGTATTCTTAGAAAATAAATTTTATAAAGCAGAATTACTAAAAAAGCAGAAGCTGTTTACCACCATTTTCAAAAGTACTGAATTCTACAGGTTAAAAAAATTCTGTTCTTCAAATAGCAAAGCGATCTGGTCTACTACAATTCAGACCTTGCAACTCAAGCAGGCTTTACAAACTACATAGATTAATTACTGTCATACATCTCTCTTAGGAATTCAATTTCATATATGTTAAGAAAAAACAAGTAAATGGAAAATAAAATACATTTTTATAATAGAAAAAATTATCATAGCAATTCTAAATACTTTATATTGAGAAGATGTCACTCTACAAAAAACAATTACTTCTATGAATTTCGTAAATTGGTGAACAGAAAAAAAATGTATTAAACATAATAAATAAAGTTTATTTTTCATTGTTATGCTACATATTTTTGGATGTCACTCTACAAAAAACAATTACTTCTATGAATTTCGTAAATTGGTGAACAGAAAAAAATGTATTAAACATAATAAATAAAGTTTATTTTTCATTGTTATGCTACATATTTTTGTATATATTGCTTGTGATAAAATTTACCTTTTTATTTGGCTTGACTGATTTATTTATTATCATGCTTACTTTTATGTCCTTTAATTCAAAGTCAATGCATCAAAGATTATCTTTTTGAAATGATTAGCCATCTTCTATATTGCTTTCCCTATTTAGAAATCTTCGTAGGACTCCTTTCACTTTGAATGAATAATCTCAGAAAGTATGATATACATGTCAAGACTTTTTATTTATAAAAGCAAAAAAGTCAGGAAAATAAACTAGGTAAACAATTTACCATTCGTTTGTCTTGTAGCTGCCTACAGGACGTCTGTTCCCTCCAGTTCTTCCTAAGTTTACAGAATGCTCATCTGCTAATTCTCTGTTGAGAGATTTTTGCACCAGTAATTTACTAATGGGTACTTTCTTTTTTTTTTTTTTTTTAACACCAAACTAAACTAAGTATAATGATAAGGATGGATAGCTGCTTACATATACTTAATATACACCATCTTAATGGAAAAACAAAAAACATTTCAAATGAAGAATAGGCCTTCTCAGCGATAATACTAAAATTATTTAACAACATATATGTACTGAATAATCAAAAAAAAGAAGATAATGATCATGCTGGACAGTGTTCTAGGGGCATCCTACTGTCTCTAGCAATAACTAAATGCTGGATCTTGGAACTGAAGGGTTCAGCATAGGTGGGAGATGTTCTTTGGAGGTCTCTGGAGGTACCTATTTAAAAGCCAGTATTGAAACCTATCAACATATTAAAATCTCTTATTTAATGGTATGTCAGACCTTATCACCTGAATATCGACATTTGGCCTGCATTCAAAAGGGGGTGACACATGTCAGTAAAGAATGAGATGATTCAAGACTTTTAAGTCAAGTTATTTTAATATATATTTTTTGATAAAGTGAATTCAAATATTATTAACACAAGTGCTTTATTAATTAAGTAAGACATATTGAAATAATGTACCAAGTTACATGGTGTTAATTTGATAAAGCTATTTTTTAATTTTAATTTTCTGTGTTTGAATTCACTATTCAGAACCTTGATGGCATTTCATAATTACATGCAAAACCTGTGAAGCCCTGAATTAAGCTTTGTATTTCTGTCTAAGTGCATTTTAGTTGCCTAATTTTAGCTTGGTGTGCTGAATTGGAAATCTTATTTTTTGTACTTGTTTTTATACACATGTCAATTTTATGCATCATGTTGCAAAATAGACATATATGATGTTTGATTTGCCATAACTAACTTTGATTTGATTAAATAATTAAAATGTGGCTATAAACATAATCGTAGATCTGTGTCTTTGGGCTTCCAAAGAACAACTCATATTGTAGAGATGCTGGCTCTTCTGTTTCATGTTATTTTTTTTTATTAAAAATATTTCAGTGGGTCTAACTGACTCCATAAGCTATAATTCTCAGTGTGTAACAAAGTTAGGTCTTCGACATTACCTGAATATTCACTTAAGCTACTGCATCAGCTTTTTCCATATTTTTTCCCTTAGGAATTTGGAATTTTCTCAAGCTTTATGGCTTTTAAAAAATATTCCATGAATGGGTTTTCCTTGATCTCAGACTATCATAACAAATTGGAAAAGAAGATCCTGGCTCCCACTACATTTGTTAAAGTGATGGCAAATAATTTGTTGATGTTTTGGCAGTGAAATAAATAATAGCATCTTATCATGGTGTTTGTATATTTCAATGGTACAAATGAGTCATGTGAAATTCCAACGCTGAAGGGGGGTTAAATAGATAAAATATTAAAAATTATCTGAATCCTAAATGAATATAATTTGAGAAGAGTTTTGGTTTCATCCATCTGTACTGGAGTGAGTTAGTTTCTGTGTTGTGTTTCCCTGTCATTCTCTCCTCCATTGGCTTATTTCTATGTCTCACATTCTGCCATAAAGGATCCAGCCAAGAAATTGTTAAACAGGTAACAGAATAAACGATATAGGACTCGAGTTAATCGTTAATGTCTGATCCATTTAGGATTCCCATGCCCCTTTTAAACGCTGAAAAAAGTAGCAAAATAAAAATATAATGTTAAAATAGCAAGAGACGTGTTTTTATAAATAATCTTGCTCTATAAATCTAAGGCACTTTATTAATTTAGAATTATCCTCGTTCATTTTATTAATGAATTAGTTTAAATCGTCCTACAAATTTCTTTAATCGAATTATATCATTCAAATAAATCAGACAGGGTAATAAAATTAACAAATACAGGTGACTGTCAGACACATAAAAATTTATTATGTTTCTTGTATCCTCCAGTTCTGTACTTTCTTGTGTGTTATTAAAGAGGCAACAGACAGGGTAATAAAATTAACAAATACAGGTGACTGTCAGACACATAACAATTTATTATGTTTCTTGTATCCTCCAGTTCTGTACTTTCTTGTGTGTTATTAAAGAGGCAATTGCTTTCTTGATATGCCTTTAATTCCTCAGAGTTGGGAAAAATAAACTCAACCCCCTTCAGACATCTGTCATTTACATGGAATGGTTTCCAGAAGATCCTTATTCCTGAACCAATATGATAATATAGTTAAGCTGCTCCTCTATATTCATAGTAATTGTGCAGTCAACATGTTCTTCTTTGTCCCCAGCGTCTGTCACCTCTTCAACCTCTGAGGCATGCTCTTTTACAGTGGTTTGTTTATTGAAAAATTGTTTCTGTGCCCTATCTTAATAGTCACAGGTACTGGCACAAAATTTTAAAGTGACCAGAAAACAAATTGTATAAATTATTTAAAATAAAACATTCCTTTTATGTCACATCATAAAACGTGTATTCTTTATTCACTTTCCCATGAGTTAAGTTTGATATCAGTATATCCAGCTTTTTTTGAGCCTGTGCAATCAAACCGAGCTTATTCCTAAGTACTTTGGGGATAAAAATAAAGAAGGCAATCTAGTAGGGAATGCAATTATAGAGGCTTATAGAAGGATAGGTGCTTAGAGGGGCTGTATAAGAAAAATTAAGCCCCAAACTATCTGCTGTGTTGACCACCTTGAAAAGCTGATTACACATCTCTTGTTACTTTCTCCATCATCTCCTATGGAAGATACAAGATATTCAACTTTCAAGAGAATACAATACAGATGATGTTTTATAATCAAGTTAGTAACAGAAATATGGGGATAAAAGTATCTTCTTAAGAGGATCAAGAGAGGCTTTATGAATAGTTGACCTTCTAACCAGGTCTTAAAGGATGAAAACCGTGGTGTGGGGAGAAATTTCCACCTAGAATAGGCAGAGCAGGTGTAGTCTTGGATGATCATTTATTTGAGTTGACTGAAGCCTAGGAGTAGGCAGGAGGAGTAATAATAAATAGAGTTGGAAGAGTAGGTTGGACTTTACATCATGATTTCTGAGTGCATGGAATACCATCCAAAGGAATTTATTTTAATTTAAAGGAGAATATTTTAATGTCTCTTAGCCAAGTATGCTTTAAGAGTTGTGCTTTAAGTAGAATCCTCTGACAGGGGTATGTTTACTAAATTGAATGAGAGTAGAATATAGTAGAGGAAATCAAAACAATACAGAAATGAGACATTAAAAAGAGTAACTGATGGATTGTTAGATATCCAGGAATATTTGTCTTTCTTTTGTATTTATTTTCTATTTTATTGTTTCAAGATTACAATTGACTAACTAGTAAATGTATTGAGGGTCACACGCTAAACAGTATTCTGAGTGTTTTACATGTAAATTTTTCCTTGGTTATCTTAGCAATTCTATGAATAATAATAATTATTGCTATTGTTGTTGTTGTTAATCATTGTGTACAGATGAAGAAACTGAAGAGTTTTAGTAACTTTTCTAAGCTTACACCATAAAGAGTGATGAATCCTGCTTTGAAACCAAGCTGACTATACATGGAGTCAACCAGCAACCTTCACTAATGTGCAATACAACCTCATGAATATTCAACATAGTATGTTTCACTGAAAGAAATTGATACTTGCCTATATTAACTCCACAGGTTGTGTTTCCTTATCTGTAATAATATGTAATATAGCACCTT